CCCCCCCCCCCCCCAACTGTTCTTTCAAAGAAAGGTAAATACTGTGACAGGAGGTGAGTAATTAGAAAAAGGCATCCTGTTGTCCCAAACTGGTACCCACAGGCACTTTTTAAACATGCTTGCGTGAAAAGGCAGGCATTTTAGCAGTTTTGTAGGGGTTCAGTGGTTTTTGGCCATTCTTTGCACGGACAGTACAGCTTTCCCCATGCATTGCAATTTAGGTGGTTGCTCCTTGCAGTTCCAAAAGACTTCTGTACCTTAATCTCCTCCCTCAGAGCTCCCCACAGATGAGGTCAGGGGAAACAGCAGCACTGTGCCATTGAGTGCTGTCAAAGACACTGTAACAAACTCAAAACGTTTATTTAAAATATTACATCTTAAGCTATAATATTGAAGGCATGCTAAATAGCCAATTCAAGAAGAAAATTAGTTCCTTTGCATTTGATGGAACTATTTATATATTACTAAGATAATAGCCTTAATTGCTTTTCATCTTTGTACAGTTTCACTATTTGCACTAAATTCAGCTGTGAAAGGAGATTATTTAAGTTCAAATTCTAGCTATACTGCAATAGCAAAAATGCTGAATTTTTTTCATTGCAAGCAGAGCAGAAAACATTTACATAGGGAAAATATGGATATAGTTCATATGAGTTATGAATAAATTCCTATTAAAAATTCCATTTTGGATCCTGACTGGAACATAAACTTTCATCATGACAATCAGCAAGATAACCTCACATGCACACTGCTTCTTTTCTGTATTTTTTGGAACAGAGACATGAGTAAAAGCAGAATTCATTCCATATCCTGAGGTTAAGAAATGTAGTTAAGACCGGGTCCTTGACATTGGGCCTTTTACATGGATTTCCTGAGGAAAACCATGTCTGGGAAGGGAACTTGGAAAATATTGTATTATCTTGTGCCACAGGAAGATGTGGTGTTTTGGGCTGAAACATCTACAATTATTTTGTATTTCATTTGAAAGGAACATTTATTTCCATATTTTTCAGTACAGGTACAAATTTTTCATCTCTACCCACACACATACATAGCCAGACTAATTGTTCTTATCTAAAAAATTATTTTAAAATTATTTCTTCTCATTCTAAAACACTTGGAGGCTCCCCCCCCAAAAAAAAACAATTTTCAAAAAGCATTGCCAATAAAAAAATCTCCGAATATACAGATGAGCAGTAATTTCTGTGGTGGGTTGGTTTTGGTTGTTGGTTAGGTTTTTTCTTTGTTAGATTTTTAAAGTTTTTTGGGGTTTTTTTTTGTGGTTTTGGTTTTTTGTTTTTTTAGTGCTCAGATTTATCTGTAAAATCTTGGGTCCAGGAACCTTGTCTTACACCATTTCTGTAAAGAACCATCTCATAATAAACACTCTCGACTTAAAATGCAGGAATAGAAAAAGAAAAATTTGTGTGTAGCTGTCTTCAGTAGTACTGATATTGCCACACATTTAAATTAGCTTGGCAATTATTTTGGGAAAAGCTCAGCTGGGATAATCATCTAAAGGATTTTAGTTGCATGCCAATTGTTTCACTGTATTCTGCCAGCTCTTCTCACCCTACAGAAAGTCATAAATCCTGCTTAAAGGATGCTGTTAATATTGCCAGCAGCTTCAAAGAGGCTGCTCCAGGCAGACAAGCAGGGTTTGGCCTGGATCACAGATAACAAAGCTGGCAAAGTGTTCCCAATTGGCACTCAATTTTCAAAGATAAAAGATCACCCTCCCTACCTTCCTTGTGCCTAGGATTGACATAGAAACCGTTTGTGTGGGTGTGATTCACCAAAAGATGTATGAACAGGCTTTTGTCCATTCCAAGTGTGAGATTCTTGCTGTAAAAAGAGTTAAGGAATTTCCTTTGGTGTTCATACGGAATCTAAATGCTGTCCCCACCCTCTAGGGTACAGTTCCCAGGGATATTTGCAGCTCATATTGATGCCTTAAGATTTTAGCTTTTATATTTTTCAGATTATGTACTGCATTAGTGTAAAACTCTGAACTTCATATAGAGTGTAAGTAAGCTCTCTTCACATTTTGGTCAGACAAAACAATCCTCCTAAGCCTGAGAACCAAGGACATGATCTGCCTCAGGCTCTGAAAAGTATAAACAAAAGTGAATCATGAGGGGGAACAGCAAACTGAAGGTACATGACTTCATTACCTGAAGCTATAATCGGAGAATTAACCCTGATATACAAATAGACCAAATTTATATCTGTCTGAAAAACTCATGATCACCAGCCATCTGGGGTGTAGCCTCTGGAAGGCTTTTGACTGCCCAAGGTGAATGTGTTGAAGACCTTTACTAAATAACCACTTTATTCTCTTAACTCTGTCCAGCCCCTGTTCTAGTAGCTACTCCAAGGCATCATAACCACAGCAGAGAGAAAACTTTGACTTCCAGGTTTTCCCCAGATGCTACCAAGATGTGTCTGGGAATTGAGAACAAAGATACGTGTGAAAATTCACAGGCTGCAAAATAATTCCATAAGAGCACGAGTGTTGCAGTAAAGACAGACAAGACACATTTTCTTCATGCAACAAATAGCTTAATTTTATTGTTCCTAGCTCATATTTACATGGTTTCTAAAAGCATTGTGTTTAATTCTAATTGGTTAGTAGCTTTTTGCTACTCAGTTCATTGGTTAGTAGTTGCTAGTGTATGTGTTCACCAAAGACTGTCTTCCCTAAAAATGTTTACATTTTTGTAGAATAAATCTCATGGGCACAGAATCAGTTCTCACAGGTACTAGGTTCTTTTCTCACAGGTGTAGG